AGGGAACACAAGCAGGGGGAGGGGGAGAGGAAGAAACAGGCTTCCTGCTGAGCAGGGAGCCCGACACGGGGCTCCATCCCAGGATCCTGGGTTCATGACCCGAGCTGAAGGCAGACTCCCAACGACCGAGCCACCCAGGCGCCCCTAAAACATTACTTCTTAAGACACATTTTTTTTTCACATTCTGTCGCTTTAGTGGTTTCCTATTGCCAGTGAAATCCAACTCCCAAGCGCTGAATTCAAGACTCAAACTTTCTGTTTCATAACCATTCACATAATTTTTTGTCTCTGAACCTAACACACTGCCTTACTCATGCTTTTCCTCCCCATGAAAAATGATCATCAATAAAAATATCATCAAAGCTTATTCAAACTTTAAGACCTATTTTTGCTCTGTGAAACTTCCTTCATATCACAGCACATTGAGCTTTTTCTACTCTACATTTGTATTATAGTAATTACCTAAATGTTTATTGAGAGTAACCTTTAATCAATTATATGCTTATGCTTCTCCATTTTGATTGTGTAGAAATATCCTTTCCCTAAAACAGTTTAATTTATATGAAGACAGAGAAACGGTATTTTGAAGCCCAGAGTCTTGAATAATACTAGGCCAAGAGTGGTAACAAAAGCTTGCTGAACTGAATTCATTTCTGTTACGGTTTGTCATCAACTTTTTGACAGGCAGCACAAATACGATTATTGTCCTGATGTCACTGTCTCAGTAGCTACTTCAGAAACAGCCTCACAGGAACGTTCAGGGCATCACTATTATCTTCACCACATGTGACTCTTCCTACTGCTTTTTTCTCCCAAAGATAATAAAAAGGCATTAAGAAAGTTATTTTCAATTAACATTTTTATAAGAAGAAGCCATTTACCATTTACTGGTTTGGAAAGTTACAACATTCACATTTTGGATTTCATAAAAATAAGTCACTTCCTACATAGTATGAACCACAAATTTAAAAATTCTTCCTAAATTTCATTGGTTTTGCTAGACAAAGTGGTTACTGTTAACTTTTTAGGTGCAACATCAAATCCAGACTAGAGGGTTTTCATCCAAAGTACTTAAGACAGGTCATTTAGAAAAAAACAGGTGGAAAGACCAAATTTAATTAAAAAGTAAATAAGAAGTATAACTTTGCAAGAACTAATTTCTACCAATTTGTTTTCTGAGTACTGTTTTCTCTCCAGGAAATCTTTTCAGCCTTGGGGCCCAAATGCCAAATAACTTAAATTAGTATCTGAGAAACTGACACTGAAAGAATTTCTTTGTGTAAATAAATTGAAGGACAGGGATAACAGAGTATTTGTTTTCTACAAAACCCATTTTAAATTATTACAAAGATACAAATGTGGCTGTGTGAATAATTCTTTTGGTCACTTCAAGGCCAATATATATATTTGGTTTACTGAAAAGTGCTTCCCAAACATTAAAAAATATCATTTGCTCTACTCTAGTGATCATAAGAATCCTATAATATGTCCTGAGAATTGAAGTTTCATCACCCACCTTTCGAAAAGTTGAAGCCAACTAGTTAAATGAAACTTGTCACACACTTTATATCACTTGAGCATTTTATTTCATCTAGAAGTAATTGAATTTCAGTGGGAAGTGACTACTTGTTTAAACAAACAATTTTTCTTGCAAGCCTTTCTATCTAAGGCAGTTCTGCTCTGTAAATCTTCTCTATGCTTCTTAAACCCATACATTCTAACAGGTTTAGTTCAATATCTCGCTGTATATTTTAGAAAACACTGTGCTACATTCAAGATGCAATTGCTGGGACCAAGGTTATTCTTCATTTAACTGAGTCTCATGTACTAACTCAATCTTTTCATAAAACACAGAATCACAACCTCAGTTTCTACTGATGAATATTTCCTTTTTTGCAGTGATGAAGAGAATAACACTCAAAGCTACAGTAAATTTAAAATTCTTCTCTCACTCTTGTTAAGGATGTAAAGAAGGGTTAATATGATTCATCTACAAAGAATTTCCCCAGGCATCAATAAAAGATAAAGAAAAAAAGCTGGAGAGTTAAGATGAGCTGCAAATGAATTTTTATCTTTACTTCAGAAACTAAAAGAAATGCAATTGTTTCAGAAAAACAAGTTCAACAAAGCAGCTAAAGACTGTCTCATGAGATTGTAAAACATATTCATTCATTCTTATATAATTATATAATAGCTTTCTGACAGATATTAGTTTTCCTGACACTTCTATGTTTTGTCCCCAACACATTGCAGAACGGCTGAGGCACATGCATAATGTTGCAAATATTTTCTCTACAGTCCACTTTTCTATGGCTTCCCTGACTGAGTTTGCTTCTAACTCAGAGATGTGAGCACATTAAGAGGTAGCATCTGTAAGCTCTGTGCTGCTGCATGGGTCTCCTCATCTGTAGAACACCAACATTAACACTGATACTGTGGGGTTGTTGTGGGACTGAAAAGATCCCTGGCACACCATGGCTGGTGAATAGATACCGGTTATTATTACTCTATCTTAAGAGTTAATCCTTGAACCTATGTTCTAAGAAATTACAGGCTACTTTAAGTACTAAAAGAGACTTAGAAGTTCACAATTATTTAATCCACTCATATTATATATGAAAAACTAAAATTCAGACAGGTGAAGTGATAGGCCAGTAGTCAAAAAGCTTCTTAGAGGCAGTAGTAAGACTCAGAACCAAGTCTCCAGACCCAAATCTACTGCTGACTAATTTATCATAATTCTCTCTCCAGAAACTTCATCAATTCCTTGGTTTCATTAAGAAAAGCAAATGTCTAGGGGTGTCAACCAAGCTTCCAAAGCAATTCTCCTAACCTTACATAGTAAGAATACATACAAGTGCCAGAAACTGAACCCAAGTCTCTCTGACTTAACCCATTCACACTATGCATCTATGCATAATCTGGCACCAACAAACTGGTACCTGTGTCTTTGTGTATATACCCTTTGTAATATTTAAAAAAATAAGGTATCATACATATTGCCCTATAACATTTGTTTTTAATTTGACAGTAACACTCTATTTCCATGGCAGTTTAACTTCATCTTATTCATTAGCAACAAAGTTTACAGATAAATCTGATATATAAAAATATTCAAGATACTCACTTTTTCTTGATTAGTAAGATAATATCTAAACTTCCAAACAAGATCTTGTTCTTCATATGTAAGTTGCTTGGTTGGTGGATAACTCACAATAATCTACAACAAAGAAAAAAAAAACTACTTTTGTCAAATATATTCTTCCTATTTCCATTTCATTAAAAATTTTTCACTTATTTAAATATTTCTATAATAGAACTTTTATAGAAGTAGGGACAATGTACATGCAGCAGAATAAAACTAAATTTGCTGTACTTAATAGTCTAAAAAGGATATTATTGGAGTGCAGAGGGAGAAAAAGACAAAACTTAAAAAGTCACACTCCATATAAAAATCTGTAACTACAGAGCTCATTTCATTCAACCAAAAATAAACCAAATCAAAATAACAAAAGTCCCCTTTTAGATAACTGAGTTAGTTACAGATATTGTTATAAACAATAAACATTTTCCCTATCAAGTCAACACACACAATGCACGTGTGCACACCAAGACTTCTCTCAGACAATACCTTAGGGCCGGTTTCTAAGACAGCTATATCAAGAAAGTACATACTATTTGTAGCTCTGCCTCCAGTGTTAATATATTTTCTTAGTCCCAAAATGATTTAAAAAAAAAAAACCAGAAACAAAAATTACAGAAAAAGCAAATTTGTTGAAATTATTATACAGATTTCATTACCCTGGAAAAAAACATGCACCTGAATCACTTCCAAATGAAGTGGTTATCAGATCAGTTGCAACCAAATTACATGTTTCATTTTTTTATATTAATAGTTTATAAATTCTCTTACATTTAGTTGATCTCTTGTGGCAGCATTAGGTTTGAGATCATGGTCAGAAGGTCCACTTCTTAAACTCCGGGCAAGCTTGTGGTGTTTGCTCTCAACTAAATTCTCCTATAAATTATTTATAAATATTAATCGATTATGTAAATGTCATCAAAAGTTTCAACAGCCAATTAGAAATGCAAAAATAAATAGCTGCTTACTTAAGACCATTTTATAATGCTTAACATTTTATTCTAGTTACAACTTTTGTCCCTATGTATTTCTTTAAAAATATCACCATTTTTTTCGTCTCAGGTCATGATTTCATAGGTCCTGAGATTGAGCCCCGCATCGGGCTCCACCCACAGAGGGGAGTCTGCTTGAAGATTCTTTCCCTCTGTCCCTCCCTCCATTCTCTCTCTAAAATAAATAAATAAATCTTTAAAAAAAAAATGAAAATTAAATTGGAAAAAAAAATCACCATTTTGTGATAGGGAAACTAAACATGCCTTATGCTTCACTAGTGCCATAATAAGCATTTACCATTCCAGCTTCTTAAAACATCTCCTAATACCCCTCATTCTCCATATATTCAAGGTTTTCACATCCTCTACCCACTCAGATAAAACCTTCACTCTAAAATCTTCCCTGACAACCCAGACTAAAGCATTCCCTCTTCCTATGAGCTACTAGTGACCTTGGGATATCACTGTACTATCATCTTAACAGTTCAACTGCCAGTAGTGACTGACGGCAGGGACAATGACCATAATGGTTGAATATACACATATTTGGTGTGAACTATTTTACCTATGGCCAAAATCATTAGTTTTGAACATACACTCTTTGCTTAAAGAGATTTATTTTACTTATTTTTGCATGTGTGAACTGTCTTCTCATGTCTTTCTCCCTTCAATTAGTTTTTTGCTGCTTTGTCACTTTTTTGTTTGTTTGTTTTTAAAGGGCATTATCCATGTACTACTTTTTTTTTTTTTAAGATTTTATTTATTTATTTGAGAGAGAGAATGAAACAGAGAGAGCACAAGACAGGGGAGGGTCAGAGGGAGAAGCAGACTCCCTGCTGAGCAGGGACCCTGTTGCAGGACTCAATCCTAGGACTCCAGGATCATGACCTGTGCCGAAGGCAGTCACTTAACCAACTGAGCCACCCAGGCGCCCCTGTCACTTGTTTTTAAGAATTCTCCATACATTAGCTATTTATCCCTTTGTGATGTATGGCAAGAAGAGTTTCTTCCAGGGGCACCTGGGTGGCTCAGTCGTTAAGCGTCTGCCTTCGGCTCAGGTCATGATTCCAGGTCCTGGGATTGAGCCCCGCATCAGGCTCCCTGCTCCGTGGGAAGCCTGCTTCTCCCTCTCCCACTCCCCCTGCTTGTGTTCCCTCTCTCGCTGTGTCTCTCTGTCAAATAAATAAATAAAATCTTTAAAAAAAAAAAAAAAAGAGTTTCTTCCAGTTTGTCTATTGTCTTTTGACTTTATTACAGTGTTTTGCCATGCAATTTTTTTAATGTAGTCAAATTTATTAATCACTTCTTTTACTGCCTCTGGATATTGAGTCATTGTTAGAAGTGTTTCCCTACACTAAAGTAAAGTACTAGTAAGGCTTCGTTTTTTTTTTTAATACTTAAATCCAATCCCTGATCTATCTGGAATTTTTCTTTATGGGTATGATGTGAGGTATGGGTCTGATTTAATTTTATCTTTTTCCAAATGGCTAATCAGTTCCCCAGCACTATGTTCCAATGATGAAATGTCACCTTTATCATATTTAGGATGTTTGTTTCCAAAAAACTCCCAAGTTGCGTTTTTTTCTAATTTTTTATACTCTTTTTCCCCTGTCTGTTCCTTTGAGGTTGGGCCATCGGTCATTACTTCCTGTTTTAATGACCTGTATTTACCTCCCTCATCATGCTTTTATCTTCCAATATGCTACTTTAAATTCACTTTGGTCTGATTAGGAAGGTAACTAATCCAATTATAAACATAAAAAATAAGAATAAAATGGTTCAGGGTGATGTCACGAGTTGTGTGAATATCATGGTATCTATTATGCTACGAAAATGATCTTTTGCCTGAAACTTTCTAAATTTAAAGTCATCTCATTAAACCTCTGTTGCAAAGTTAAGAATTCTTCCTGTTTAATATCCCCGAACTATCATCTCAAAAATTCCATAGATGGCTAACTCAAAATCATCCAAGTCACCATGATCCAAATTAAACAGTTCTAGTAGCTACAACGATCTTCCAGATTTTTTTCAACAAAATCACTCTCCCTAACATTCCCATCCATTGAACCCAGTGTTACATCCTGGTATAAACAAACTCCCCTCCCATATGATGACAATCTTTCATGTACCTGTTCCCCAAGTTCTCACTTCAAGACTACATCCCCGGGGCGCCTGGGTGGCTCAGTCGTTAAGCGTCTGCCTTCGGCTCAGGTCGTGATCCCAGGGTCCTGGGATCGAGCCCCGCATCGGGCTCCCTGCTCGGCGGGAAGCCTGCTTCTCCCTCTCCCACTCCCCTTGCTTGTGTTCCCTCTCTGTGTCTCTCTCTGTCAAATAAATCTTTAAAAAAAAAAAAAAGACTACATCCCCTAACTCTTCCAATAATTCAAATAAATGGTTCCCCAACACTATACTATCCTGACCATATTTTTAGATGTTGATATTATAAAAGTTCCACCTGAACCTGATTCCAGATGGCTAAAAATGGACTTACAAATCACTTTTAGATAACTGAGTTAGTTTCAGATATACTTTCTTAAAAGAAAGTGTATGCTGTGAATCCAAGTCATAATCACTCTGGAGAAAAGCACTTTCATAAGAAATCTGGCAATAACTCACCATAGACATCTGAGGGTCAGGAACCTTTACTATCTCAAAGCTTGTTAAAATTGGAGATGACTCATCACCATCCTGGATTATGGTGTAGTAAGTTAAAAAAAAATTAACAAAATTTAACCAAATGGTAAGAAATAATACATGCTAATGTACACTCCAATGTATTTTAGTTCTATTTAATGAACATCATTCCTCCCTTTTAAAAAAGCATTTTCTTTCAACTGTATTTTAAAATATATATATCCATTTTTTACCTGTTGCTGCTGATGAAATATTTGGGAAAAATAAAATCTAACAATAAAAACTTGTTACAGTTTTTAGATATATGAGGTCTAGAAATCAGTAGATTGCTTTTGTCAGTTATTTTTAACTCTGTTTATAATGCTAGCAGGTCAAAAATAGCATGTCCTAATTTTCAAACTTAGAACAAGAAACCACAAAGTATAAATTATGGCACAAGGGATGTGTTGCATCATTTGCAAAAACCACTAAGTAGATGTTGGTAACTTTTCAAATTATCACAACTGAGTTCCATTCAAAGAAGTTGGATTTTAAGCATGGAGTTAATGTTACTGAAATTTATACACAGCTAGAGACTCAGCAGCATTGCTTCTACTCAATACAATGCAAACTTGAATAAGAAGAATTAATCCATCAATTCTTAAGAAACAAAGCTGCCTTATTTTGTTGGTATTACCATTTTTGGTAATTCAGAATAATAAATGTCACTGCATACATACTGGAAAATGCTAAACTAATCAAGGTCAAAATTCATTTCCTCACAACTGTACACTTCGCATCAAGCTTTTCTGTCAATTTCCAAATGCTAGTATTTCCAATGTTAGATGCGTGCAACCAAATCAGGAGAGACTGAAAGAAGGGAAGTATTGGGACTTGACTTTAGTTCAGTAACTGAGTCTTACAGAAAACCACAAATTCCCACAGCCGTTGTTTAACAGGCTGGTTCTCAGTCACAACACCAGAAAACACATTTATCAGCCCAACTGTGACAAGTAATCTTCACTAAGGCTATCTGTCACAAAAGACAGGTGACAAGAAAGTCTATTTCCATTAGATTCAATACACTGGCCCAGCAATCTTTACAGTAAGTGGAAATATGACAGGGTAGGTAGACAGGCATTAATTTACGAGCAATTTTCAAGAAGCAGTAGAAAGGGGTCAAGAACCTTTTCAAAAATACTTGAAATTCTTCTAATTTTTATTCTGTTATTATTTCATCTATTACAAAGCTGTCTTTCAAACGATTCTTCACATCTCTTATGTTTGAAAGTACCATTTCCACTAGCATGTTTTTGCAATATAAACCGCATAGGGACAAGAAATAATGCGTTTAATTACATATAGTATAAAATGTAAAATGTGATTTTATTAAAGTGACAAAACAATTTCACTCACCTATATTTCCCCTTCTTTTTAATGTAGTTTTTCTAATGAATTAATAAGCAATGTTAAATAGTCTATCTTCCTAACTTCTTTTTACCAAAGACTATCATTTACAAAATAAAAAACTGAAACAAGTTAACTTTTCCTAACCTTTTACTAAAGGGAAGGGATAGAAGCTAAAAAGAAAAAAATATGTGTTAACTTGAAAAGTACCAGAAAAATGATCATAAATTAACTACACAAACCCTAAAACTCCATTATGAAAACTTCTTTCAAGTAGTAACTTACAGTTATGAAAAAATGTATATTTTAAAAAATCACTATGACAGCTTTACTAAATAACACTACAGCATAAATATAATTTAGAAGTGTTGCTTCTAATAAACAAATATACTGCATATAAGCTTAGCTATATACTAGAAGAAATATTATTCCATTATGCCATGTATCAAAAGTCTGTCCTCACTCACACTGATTTAAGCACCTAAGTATTTCCACAATAATACCTGGTTTATGTAGTTCTGAACTACGCATGCAATTCTTTCTATAGTCCTTAAATTAAGACCCTTCAACAAGCATTTAAGGCACAGATATTTTTCAAGTAGCTACATATCAAACACACAACTACTTTCTTTTGGATAATGAGCAGATCAGAGCCAATCCATTAAGTACATACTTGTTATCACCCAGCCTACTGAAAACATGTTTTTTTTAATTCTGCATTTATTATATAAATATACATTTAGGACGTCTTTCATAAGCATACTTACGTTAGGGTCACCCATTATATATACAAATTCAAATAGTAAGCATACCCTTAACTTTCAACAGCTTATCACTTAAAAACAGATTCCCTTTTTATTTTTCAAATGAATACTAATTGCTAATAAAGCTATTGCTTTAATGCCCTACTTGCCAATTTGCAGAGCAATTAATCAAAAAGTTTTTAATCTGTTGCATATTTATTGACTTCTGGAACCCAGAACTGCATTACATGAATGATCGGCTTTCGTAATCTTGTTGTAGCTCCATGATCTGACTTGTGTATATACAAACAGCGGCTGCTGACAGCTGTCTGCTGCTATCCTGCAACCAAAGAATTCATCTCAGCAGGTACAACAGGAACTCTTTTTAATGTTTCCCCTCCCCTCTACTTTAGAGACCATAAACAGTTCCAAGGCAAATACCTTTTCATAATAAACAATACCATATTCCTTATCATCACACTTGACACATCGAAACTCAACCATCAAGTACATGAAATTAGAACTTCGTTTCTCACTCTAAAAAAAAAAACAAAAAAAGAGTTTTTTATGAAAAATCATGATCTTTGACATTCCCTTAAAGGAGCGGTATGCATCATTATTTCCAACTCACTAATACATGATCTATCAAGTACAACTTCAAACCATAACAAATTTTTCTTTCATTATCATAAACAACCTTCACAAGTTTTTCACAATTTATAAGTGGTCTTAAGATAACTGGCAATCGGGCGCCTGGGTGGCTCAGTTGGTTAAGCAACTGCCTTCGGCTCAGGTCATGGTCCTGGAGTCCCGGGATCGAGTCCCGCATCAGGCTCCCTGCTCAGC